CCGTAGGGCTTGCCTGAGCCAGTGCTAGGTGCTTCCTGTTCCGGGATGCTTGTAAGATGCTCGGTAATGCTTTGGAGCAAATGGTACGAGCTGACTGCTTTGGATTTGACTGCACTTAGTTTATGGCCAGCACTCCTCGCAGCTCTACCTGTGTTCGGTGGGGCAGGTTGCTTTTCCTGCTTTTCCTGCTCCGGCTGCCCATTGTGCACCGAATACTCCACTGGTTCCACCCCGCTGGGGGAACCGAGGTGCTTTCAGGTAGCTCTTGTTTCCACCTCCTTCTGCGGCCTCCGGAGGATGCAGGCGCACTAGGCTGATTAGTGACGTGTGACGGACGGCTGCTTGGGCAGTCGCCTTCGTCATTTGTGACAGCCTCTGGAGACTTTTGCCGCCGCGTTGCCAATCTGGTAGGCTGTGCAGTGTGGCGGGTGGCCTGCAAGGCAGTGGCCAAGGGCTTCACTCCTTCGCTTTCCCCAGCTGGGGATGCTGCTGCTCTCTCCTGCGTCCGCGTGACAGTCGGCGCTAGTACATGAGGCGGAGGAATAGACCCCGGTGCCAGCGTTTTCACTTGTTGGAGACAGTCCCTGCACCGCTGATGAGTTGCACGTGTTCAGCTACCAATTCCTCAAACGCAGCAAAAACTGATCTCCCTCATTGATCCTCAAATCAACCAATGCTCCAGCCATCACACTTGCCTCAAGCATACTGTGGATCTCTGTCCGGATCTCACGAAGAACATCAATCAAGCCATCAATTGAAGGTTTCTTCACAGTGAACTTCAAAACAAGCTCTCTGTAGTAAAGGGCCTCCTGCCTACTGTGAATTGAGAACTCACGTCGAATCAATCTGAAAAGTTCATAGCCGTTTGCATCAGCTGCCCCTCGGGCCATGATTTGATTGCGGATCATGTGTTCAATCTTGGGGCATCCTGTGAAGGCCTGCTGAATCAGATGGAAAAGTCGCCTTGCCCTGAGCTCCTGGTCTGCTCCTCGCAAGACAATAGGCTCTTCCATACAAAGTGCCTCCCTCAACTCTGGGCCATACTGATCGTGAATGAGTGCCAGCCAACCTCCTAGCTTCTCTGCCCAATCCCTGAACCCTGAAAGTTCTCGAGACCTGCTAACCCACTGCTTGAACGAAGGTAGTGGCATTGCTGGGATCCACTTTGTGTCCATTGTGTCGTTCACGTTCAGGGACTCCAACAGGTGGTTGCTGGGGTTGTTGTGGCTGCTGTCGTCTCATAACATCGATCAAAGTCTGTCCCAATTGCAGCTGTTGTTGCATCAAACCTGCCAAAACTGGATCTACTCCCTGAGCTTGTGGGGGATGAGGGGGTTGGAATGTTCCAGTCCCAGTTTGGTGGAAATCCATAGGTTGCACCTTGTCCCTGTCCAGATCCTCCAACACCAGAAACGTCTTGTAAAGACCTACCACCATCTCCTGACTGTCCTGCAGTCACCCCATCTCCAGAATGGCCTGAAAAATCTCTATAAGGCTGACTCATTGGATTCACAGAACGAACTGAAGTTGTAGTTGGTCCATACTACTGAGCCCACAACGCCTGAGTCACATATCGCTGGCTTCCAGGGCCAGAATGCCAACTCTGCCAAGGATCTCTCGCTTGCAAAGGGTCAAAAGTCTGTGAAGACTGACATGCGCATGGTGGTCCAACACTCAAAACAGGTGCATTCGCCAAAGAAGGAACCAAAGACGAACTAGGTACCACACTTGTATGATCTTGACCTTCTGCACTTGGACTCATTGGAAAAGTCTGAGGTCCAGGGCTCACTCCAGGCGGACTTGAGGCTTCAGCCGGTGGTCCAAGCGTCACAGCTGGACTTGCTGGAGTTGTATTCTCCATGGCTCACAAAAAGGCTCAGAGAAAACCCTACAAACAGTTCTCCTTTCTCTCAAAGCGTCTGCCCCTCACCCTTAGGATCCTCGGGGCTCCGCTACCATGTGAAAACACGGAAGCGAGTGCGAAGCCAAACATAACAGTCGGTTTGACTGTATGTCTGTTAAAATCCCAGCTCAGAAAGATGTCTCAAATTACGGCGCATACAAGAGTCTCCTTCTTTCTTCCCTAGTCGTTTTTTGTTTGGTTTTGTTTTGTGTTGGTGCTGTGGTTATTGCTTGGCACTTCATACAGGAGACTCTTTACAAAACAGCGCAAGCTGACCTATGCATTTCCTGCATGAATGGCGGCTCCGCCCGTGCAAAAATTTGGCAACATGAGAAAGAAAGGAAATAAAGTTCAGATTGGCATGCGAATCAGACCACGGGTTGACGTGCAGAGTGGCTAAAGGGTTTGAAGAGCGTTGTTGAATCTTGAGGAACAGCCACGACCAGGATTGAAAGATCAGTGCAAGAGGGCTGTAATTCTAGATCAGGGATTTGCTGTGGCATGGCAAGTTCATCTTTGTGTCTCGCAGTTGCAGTCTAGTTCATTGCAAGTTTAGCTTCTAGAGAGTTTCTTGTGATTTCATTTGCAGTTGCATGTCACTTTGTGTCTTGTCAGGTCGTGTGGATAGATGTTTGCGCAGCGTAGTAACCCTAGATAACCTTTTTGTATCCTGAGCTGACAGGTATGTTTGTCCTTGAAAGCTTTGCTTTCGAGGATCCCGATGTCAGATGGGATCTGACCCTGAGATCTCATGGCTGGTCTCTGAGGGATCCTTTTTGTTTGTTGCTTTCTTGCTTGTTTGCATGCTTGGTGACGGTCGAGCTTGATTCTTTGTTGGATATGGACGTTTACTTGAGCTGGATTCGAGTGTACCTCTAGATTGATGACGTCGAGATCACCTTTGAGGACTATTGTCTGGACCTGTTTCTTAGGTAGATTTTCGTTTTTGATGACTTGAGGTTGGAGCTGGTCCTCTGTTGGTGGTTTGCTTGGACCTCCTTGGCAGGATAACCTTTTAGAAGGTTTGATGTGGCTAGACGTGGCTAGGAGAAGCCTAGAGAACCTTTTGGTAGTGCACTGTGTACATGGAGAGTGTTTGAGGTAGTTCTCTTTAGTTTGGTGTAGGTTTGAGATGACTAAGGAATAGTCTTGACTTTGAAAAGAAGAGCTGACAAGCTTTGGAGAAACTTTGAGAACGTTTGAGACAGTTTCAACCGACTGTGACTTTGGCTCAAGGAACGGGATCGAAAGGGAAGTTTGCGCGACCGTGTTTTCACAAGAACAGAAGTGACGAGATTCTTCGTTTCGCAGAGTACGTGTGTTGGGCAGCGGCGCATTGTCTTTCGAGATCGGCCAAGCGATCAGCTGGGAGATGACCAACCTGAGCCAGCATTCGTCTCATGTCCATCTATTGTTTGAGAATTGCCTCAAGTTCAAACCTCACATTCCATGTTCACGAAAGGTAGCGGTTACGCTACCTACCTGAGTTTTCCTTTTGCTTTAGCAAAAATGTATTATACCCAGAGCTGGAGCCTATCTCACTGAGAAATGGTCCCCGACATCTTCGTTTGCTGGCCGGGGGGGGGAGGCCCCCCCCCTTTCAACTCCACCCTGGCGCGCCTCGGGGTCAACGGTCAGCTCTTCCAGTCCTCAACAGTGACCAAAAATCATGGAATTTACAGCGTTTTTTTGTGGCTGTCCGGCAAAAAAACACCGCAAAAACCGATGGTTTTTGATGCGTCTCGGTTAGAAAAATGACCGAAAAAGAACCAAAAACCAGGAAACATTTTGTCGGAAAGGGTTATTGAGGCTTTTGGAGGCTTCAAAATTGCACGAAACTATGGTATTTACAGGGTTTTGTGCACCTTCCCGGCAGAAAACGCCGGTATTTACACGGTTTTCTGCGCTTTTCCAGCGCACAACCGTGGTGCGCCTGATTCCCTGCTACTTTTCGTTCACCCCCCTCCTCTCTCAAGTAACCATCCTCACAGCCTCTTTTTTCCGCAGAGACGATCTTCTCGAAATTCTTTCATCCTTAGCCACTTCCAGTTGGACGATCTGCCACTGGATGTTCTCTTGTCTCCTTCTCATGCTGTGTTTCAGTCCTCATCTCCTTCTCCTCAACGACCTCTATGAACTCGTTCTCCACAGATCCATTGCCCGGTTGCTTCAAGTCACCACCAAGCCAGACTCAAGGCCCCGATCTTTGTTGTGTCGGTGTTACTTTTCTTTCAGATTCTCACGACTCCGGCTCGTTCTGTGATTGAACCTCAGAAAGGGTCTGGAAATTCAGCGTTGGAGCATTGTGAAGAGTGGAGCGAGATTCAGCCCTTTTATGTGTTTCGGGCAATTGCTGTAGGCAATGAATTTAGAGCGAATTTGCCACCACGAATTGCGTTTTGCTTGTTCTGTTTGAAACATTGCAACGGCGCATCGTGACATGACCCAGTTCTCGCAAGTTGTTTTTTGGTGTTGATTCACTCCGGGAATCATTCTCGGCCATGCATGCAGCCCCATCTCAGCTTGGACCTGCTTTGCCTTTAACAGTCTTGACTCTGTGTATTCCTCCCTGCAGCTATTTTCTTGCTTGAACTGGAAGGCCTCCGTCTCGGTGGCTCACTGCTTTTGCTTGCCCTATTTATATGATTGTCCTTTGTTTCTCACCACCATTGGCTCACTTTGGACGGCCTTGGCGCTCAATGAGTTGTATTGACGATGGTGGCTCCCTCAGGCATGTCCCAAGTGATGACCGCCATTTTGGCGTAAGGCCCACTTTTTGGGTGGAAAATGATTTCATCCTTGCCTTTCATTATTGCATTTTAAAATTTACTGCGTCAGTTTGTGGATACCACATTTTTTCAATTGAGGAGAGCGAAGGCTGCAGATGAGAAATAGAACACGCCGTCAAATCTAAACAATGTTAGGTGAGTGGACACAAAGAAGATGTTTCGTGCCAGGTTAGGTTTCAATGGCTCAAGGTGTGCGTTCTATGCAAATATTGCAAACCAAACGGATTAACAATTAAAAATAAAAGGTGGCTGCCAACCATCACAATTGAGTGTTGAAGTTCAGGTCCGACTCGTTTGAAAAGAGATCACAGTGGCAGCTTGCGAAATTGGCGCTATATCGCATTAAAAAAACAGCATGAATTGATTATTGCTTTCGCTTTGTATGGAATGAATCCAAATGCGTCCGTCTTTGTTCCTGGTGGTTACGCCTTTGATACAGGAGTGTCCAAGTTCGTGCCTAAGTCGCGTAAGGCTTTGAACTTCATCCCAGATATTGTTGCTCCTGACTTAGGCAGTTTGTCAAAGAAGCAAGTGTGTGGAACCCAGAATTATTGCTTAAAATGTGATCCACACTGACAGTTGAAAAGGTGCAGTACGTACCATACTTGGTTTACCGGCGACAAATATCTTCTCCATGTGTTGGATGAAATGCAGGTTCGAGCACAGATTCCAAAAAAATGCGACCACATTTTCAACCAAGACCAATTGTCAGCTCCAGGTTTCGACATTGCCACAAGTGGCGTCTACTGAGGAGGAGCGTTCTTGGCAATTTGGGATTCACCAAATGCAAGCAATACTTTGGACTCTACTGAAAAGACCTATTCCCTAACAAATAAGTGAAATGGAAGCGTAGATTTTTTTGTGCATGTAGGAGCTTCAGCGTGTTTTGAACCACTTGGCTTCAGAGCATGTTTTGGCGATTGACTGTGAGGCTCTCAAGTTTTGTTGCGAGTTCCTGCTTGGTGTTTCGAACGGTATTAGACTTAGAATGTCATTCATTGACAGGGTGCCGACCTCTCCAAAGGCTGTTGGTTTCTCCAAGAATGCCAGCTCACGGCTTGGCAACGTCTCCCGACGTTTCACTTCGTTTCAAGACACTGCCCTAGGCCAAACAAGCTGCAACATGGCAGGCGGGCGTTCCTTGTTGGAAGAAGCCAGTGCTTTCTCAAGGAACGTCACTGCAAAAAGCAAATAAGTATAATAAGTATAATTATCTAATTGTGTGCTTGTGGAGGCTTTGCTTGCTTCAGCGTGCCTGACGACTTATGCATTTTCGTGGGTGAGTGTCAGCAGTTCACAAGCCAGCCGCTGTTAAACACGTTTTTTCCACCTGGCTCACAAACCCCTCATGTGTTTGTCCTCATTTTGCCAGGATTGGCACCATGCACGGCGAGGCCTTTGCTCTGGATATTCTAGAGTTGGGCGAACGTGCTTTTGAGCAGCCCGACACAATTGGAAAGGCATTCTATCGTGCCAGTTGTAACTGTGAAAATAATGCAAGCAATGCTAACCTTATGTACAAACACTACTAACATCACGTTCGGATGAATGACCTAAAGTCTGCCTTGGCTGAGGCTTGGGCTTCGTGCGCTCTTGGAAGGTGAGCGGCCAATCAAGGTGGTGCACGATTTCCGCGGCACACTAAGGTTCAGCTCACTACAACATTGCCCTTGATTGATTCAGCGGTTCTAAGGTCAGGACAACGATGCCCTTTTGCATCAGTTTGGTGTCCAAATGAGGCGCCGAACAGGAAGTGGTCAACTTTGCAAAACTCTGACTTCACGGAACTTTGGAGATAAAGTTGCTTTCTTGGCACCGTGCTATTAAATGTTTTCTTTGGCCCAACTGAGAACAAACCACGGCATTTATTCTGAAAACATTGTAAAGCCTTCCAGATATACATCCTTTCTACTTTCTATCCTTACATTTTGGTAGTTAGTCTCATTTACTTGTATGAGCCATGATCGGATATGCGGATGCTGCAAGTCTCCAAGCGAGTCCAAAGCCTGCAGACCCGGGCATTCCTCGGATGACACCTGCAGTATTGCGGAAGTCTTGCTTGGAAAACAGAGGCTATGAGCTTCCAGAATTGAACGAAGTCCTCATTCTCCACTACAAAGGCTTTCGCAAGATAGAGGGCTTGGATGACTACACTAATGTGCGGTCCATATTCCTTGAATGCAATGGAATTAGCAAGATTGAGAACTTGGAGGTGATGCCTCAACTGGTGTCCCTTTACTTGCAATCCAATTGTATTATGCGGATAGAGAACTTGGATTCGCTGACCAATCTGCAGTATCTCAATTTGTCGAAGAATAGCATATCTGAAGTGGAAAATTTAGCAGCCTTGAGCAAGCTGGAGACCCTCAATCTCGCCTCGAACAAACTTGAAGATGTGGAGAAATTAAAAGGCTTGACTGAAAGGCCTAGTCTGAAGAGTGTTGATGTGAGTTCCAACTACTTTGAAGATGGAGATGCTTTGTTGAGCTTCTGGCCAGAGCATCTACCGAATGTTCTATGTTTGTACATACATCACAATCCTTGCTCCAGAGGTTTGAAAGATGCTCGACGGCGTCTTGTCTCAACCTTACCCAAGCTTCGTTGGATTGATGAGCGTCCAGTCACCGCCATGGAACGTGCAGGCTGTGAGGCCTGGGCGATTGGCGGCAAGGATGCTGAAATGGAAGCGAAACACGCACATTGGCTTAAGGAAAAAGAGGAGAAGGACAGGAGCTTTCAGAATTACAGGCGCATTCAGCAGGAATATGTTGAACGGGCAAATGCTCTGAAAGAGGCGAACATGTGTCAAGATGAGGCTACAGCCGGAGTGAAAGCTGCTCAAGTTACCGAAGCTACTGAAGTTTCAGAAGCTACCGAAGCAACAGAAAGCAGCGAAGAGACAACCCCCGAAGGCTTCATTTTGATACCGGATACATTTGGTCGCGGAGATAAAGCTAAAAAGGTAGACAATGCATGCACTCCTGTCGATGACCTGAGTTCACCACCTGCAGAGTCCCACACACCAGAGGATTCAGCATCTCCAGCAGTTTGTGAGGAAACTGCCAACAGTGGATCCGATTCTCTGGAAGAACTTGAAGTTGGAGAAGAGCAAGAAGAATCTGTCAAGATTCCCACAGTCTTCGAATGGACCGGCTTCAAGGATAGGTGTCTAGGACGCCTCGTGGCTGAGTTCAGGTACAATTTCAAGAAGGCATCGGCAGCGCTCGGCAAGGAATTTGATTGTGACGTTAGCGAGCAAGAGTGCAGACGCAGGTATGGTGAGCTTTGCCGCCCTTCCCAAATAACTGGAAACCGACAAGAGGCAGCAAGGCAGAGTATGAAGGAGGGCAGTGGACGTGCTGCAGATGGTCCACCACCAGATGCTGCTGCTGTCAAAGAGGTGTCCCAGTGGTTTGTACGTCGCATTCGTCAGGGAAACGGGCAAGCAGTCCAAAAGAAGCAGACTCCGAAATGGGCCGCGAACAGGCAGGATCCAGACGAGCATGAAATCGACCCAGAGCAAGAACACCTTGCTCCTGCTCCTGTGCCTGTCTGCCAAGAGAGTATCCTCGGAGCTGGAAGATCTTTTCATGTTTTCGAACCACCACCCAGGCGGCAGGTGTTGGATGATATTCCAGAAAAGCCGCCTCAGGCAAAAGTGCCTGATGCTACCCAGGGCCTGTTCGACCTGGACTAGAATTCGAGCTCTGTTGAAATCTTGGAAGAGAGAAAAAGAGGGACAAAAGAGGCTTTGAGTTGCTTTGAGCAGCTGAAATGCTTCGAGCTGAAACTGGTGCACTTTGTTTGGTCACAGGGGGCTCTTTGACTGTCAGCTTTGCGATGTCATGCTTCGTCGACTTGGTGGTCACAGGACGTTTTCCAAGAAAACACCTGTTCCAAAGAAAGTCTTATGAAGGCTTCCGACCCGAGACCTCCAAGAAGCTTTCTGAAAGGCAGTCGTACTTGTTGGAAACTCCATACGGGGGGAGTAGGCTGCCAGGGGGAGGTAGCTAGTATTTCTTTGTTAAGAAGCTAGTAGGAAGCATGTTCGCTAGTAGCATGGATGCAGAGAAAACCCTCGCATGGTCGAAACGGTATACTTGACACAAAAGCTGAGCAGCGACTCTTTGAAGGACTGGCTATGTCACAGGAAGCGCAAAGCTGCTGTCCCAGATCAGCAGATGTGCAGGATCAACAATTACCAGTAATCCAGTATTAATATTTTTGAGGATTGTGTACATGATCATCCTGGAGCATTGATTTGTCGATCCTATCTTCATGGATTCAATCTGTCAGGGCAAATTGGGTTGAAAATGTCCATTCAATAGGAGGTGGTCTGTAACCGAGGGTTGATGCTGGATGCCTCTTTCTTGAAGAAACTGTGAAAGCAATGAAACCGCTCAGCACAATTTCCTGGGAGCACAATTCGTTTCGTGCTTTGATCATGGCAAGAGCTCCGACAGCCAAGGCTTTTGAGTTCCCGGGGCATTCTGCAAGGCTCTGTACAAGGTTACGGGATCTTGACACAGGACCGTCGATCACATGAGTGAAAGCAGCTCTTAGTAAGCTTCACTGAAGCAGAAAGGATGCCTATATAGAAGATTTTGACAGACTTTTCCTTTGAGTGGAATATCTATTGTGGCTTTTCCACTGTAGAACTTGATCATTCAGTGCAGCATGTGTTGCTTCTCAACTCGAAACTTGATGGCTGAAATCGTCATGTTGTTTTGAGGAGCAGAAGCAGGCCATCCATGATCGCTTTTCGCGGGACTGCCACTGTTCACATCCAAAGGCAACAACAAAACTGTCGGGTGGGAATGGCGGAGTCAGTCCGGCAAAGGCGATCGACCGGAGCTTGGCAGGATCGGCATCTTTGGGAGAGGCGCCCATTGCCACAAGACATGGTGGAGTATGCCTTGGAGGATGACGAAGTACGGCATGCATCCTCGAGATTCCGTTGCTGGTTGACACAATGATACTGAACATGTTGGGCAGACACTTCAACACTCAACGCCAACAGTTGGATAAGCTCAAACACATTGCTGATGAATGCAATGCATCAATTGTAGCATGGAGCCACATTCGCAGCTGGGTAAAGTATCAATTAATTATCCACTGTTTAGTCAACATCCAGTGCGATTCCAACTTTCAGGATGTCAAGCCCATGCTGCAGCTTCAGCGGCTTTTGCTTCAAGAGTTGGTGGAAGCGCTTGGAGAGCAGGAGGGCACGCCACTTGTAGGCATCTTTGCCTTCTTCATGCTGACCCAAAGAATCTAGGAACGTAGTGCGAGCACTTCTTCAGGGAAGCTCCTCCCCCTGAATTTAGGCGGAGGGAGCTTCCTTGAAGAAGCGTGAGCTACTGCGTCCATATGTAGAGGCTAACCGGCTAACCTAAATAGGAGGTCGGCAAACGAAAAACACCTATAAGCTTGCCGTCACACGTGACTCGCTGCGATTGCCAGGATGCTTGGCAGCTTGTGAAGGAAGGATCTATGGTGCGGTGCATGGCTCCGCCGACGCAAAATTCTCGATCACATTTTGGGACCGGTACGCACTGAAACCGACTTTTTCCCGAGTGCGTAGCGAAGGGTTCTCGTTTAACTCTGGGGGTCTGGGGCAACCGTCCGCATGTGATCGTTCGTGGTAGGGCGCTATGGCGCTGACATTGGGCGAAGCTCTTGGAGAGGGGTTTGGATGGCAGCATGACGTGTCAGATTCGTGTGAAATAGCGAAGAAGCGTGTGGAAGCGTAGCAGTAGGATTATTTTGCTGCGCAGGCGCAGCTTTTGTGAGATTCAAAGTTTTCTCCGCTGTAAGATTGGAGTTGGTGCCTAGAGGGTGGTATGGTTGAGGTGGTGGAGGTGTCTGTGACATTGGGATTTGCTTTTGAGGCTGTTGTGTGGAACCTGTGTTCTTGTGATATCATTCCATACGTGTGGTGTGGTGCAAAACTTGCGGAAAGACATGAACGTGACTGAACATGTCATATGGTCACTTGTCGTGGCAGGCGCAGTACTTTGTGTGCGTGTTGAGGGTGAAGTTTTGTGGCAGGCGCAGGGAATCGCGAGGTTGGCCACTTTTGGTGGAGATGAATGTCGGTGTGACTTTGGGATTGGTGTGTGGTGTGATTAGAGAGACTAGGCTGGGTAGGAAGTGTCGTGCAAAAAACGCTCGTTTTGGAGACTTGACGTGCGACTTTTTGAAGAAGTGTCGTGCAAAACGCTCGTTTTGGAGACTTTGACGCGTGACTTTTGGAGGAAGTCTCGTATGAGGAAGTCGGTATGAACACGCGTGCGGTTTGGAGACTTGAGGTGTGAATTGTGGAGGAAGTCTTGGACGCCGCAACATTCATTTTGGAGACTTTGTGTGTGACTTTTGGAGGAGCCCGGAGCCCCGTATGAAACGCTGGAGACTTGAAATGTGACTTTTGGAGGAAGTCTTGTACGAAACGCTCGTATTGAACTTTCTTATTCTAAAGTTGGTTGAAGTATGTGACGCAAATGCGTTTTGTCCGAAAGGACGTGTGTATAGAGTAAGCACTTGGCAATGTAGAGTTTCAGATGTATGTGGCTCAGAAGCTGTTTTTGCAAGACGGGGGAGCGGCCGATGCAAACACGGGTCAGGTGGGGTGCCCAGGTGGAGCCCCCCCGGGCCTGCCAGGGCCTATGGCACTTTCCGTTGAAGAAGCGCGCCGCAGTTGTGGATTTCTCTGTATTCTGCTGGCGGTTATCATTTTCAGGTCTTCATCTTGGAGACCTTAGGACCGTGCAAATGTTTATTTCGTGAGTCTTTGCGCAATGAAGGATGCTCTACATGTGGTGGTGGAGTCTGCCATGCAAGATGCCTCATGAAATGTAGCAAACTTTGCGCGGAGTCACCAATGCGACGACGCATCATGTCAGCAAAAGAAGGCTTTGGTGAGCCAATTCAAGTGAACGGCTACTCGTCGAACGTGTTTGCATTTGGGTTCATGGGCTCCATCTTGCTTTGTTTGTATCTGTGCTGGGCGGACTCTCCCCACTCAGCACCAATCCAAAATTCCAAACAGACCACTAATGGAGCCCTTTCTGCCAGACTTCGCACATTCTACACATTCTGTTTTGGAGCAGGCCTATGCAGCAGACTTTGCTTCACAGAGAGAATGCCGCTGCCGACTATGCTGCAATGCCGCTCTTGCCTCACTCCGTCTTGGGTATACGGACTGTGTATGCGTTCAGCCCAGTAACATACCATCGCGATGCAGCATATTCTTGCAACTGCAAGCCATACACGATGCCGTTGGTGTCTGAGGCCGAAAATGCACGATTTGATGGTTTCCGCTTCATGCAGCGCCTCCAGGCTTGCCAGAAAGAAGCGAACTTGACAGGTTGTAGGACAGGTCGCTAGAAGCTTTGGACGCTTGTGCGCATTCGGATTTTGTTTAACAGTGCGCCGCAGGCTTTGCCATCGCAGCGGCTTAACCCGCACATCTTGTCTGAAGCCCTGGGTTGGGGGCTGGTGCGGCTGGTGTCCTTTTTCCCCAGATAGCGAAGCTATAGGGGTTCTTACTTCCCAATGGATGGGTTCCTGACTGCGGAAATTGGCTGCCGCTGCCGCTGCCGCCTTGTTTCCCAAGCTTGTCTCCCGTCATGATTTCGCTCTTGGCTGCCGCTGCCGCCTTGTCTGTGAAGCTTGTCTCCCTTCATGATTTCGCTTTTGGCTGCCGCTGCTGCCTTGTCTGTGAAGCTTGTCTCCCTTCATGATTTCGCTCTTGGCTGCCTCTGCCGCCTTGTCTCCCAAGCTTGTCTCCGTTCATGATTTCGCTCTTGGCTGCCTCTGCCGGCTTGTCTTCCAAGCTTGTCTCCCTTCATGATTTCGCTCTTGGCTGCCGCTGCCGCCTTGTCTCCTAAGCTTGTCTCCCTTCATGATTTCGCTTTTGGCTGCCGCTGCCGCCTTGTCTCCCAAGCTTGTCTCCCTTCATGATTTCTCTTTTGGCTGCCGCTGCTGCCTTGTCTCCCAAGCTTGTCTCCCTTCCTGATTTCGCTCTTGCCTGCCGCTGCCAGCTTGTCTCCCAAGCTTGTCTCCCTTCATGATTTCGCTTTTGGCTGCCGCTGCCGCCTTGTCTGTGAAGCTTGTCTCCCTTCATGATTTCGCTTTTGGCTGCCGCTGCCGCCTTGTCTGTGAAGCTGGTCTTCCTTCATGATTTCGCTCTTGGCTGCCTCTGCCGCCTTGTCTCCCAAGCTTGTCTCCCTTCATGATTTTGCTCTTGGCTGCCTCTGCCGGCTTGTCTTCCAAGCTTTCATGCTCGCTCTTGGCTGCCGCTGCCGCCTTGTTTCCCAAGCTTGTCTCCCTTCATGATTTCGCTTTTGGCTGCCGCTGCCGCCTTGTCTGTGAAGCTTGTCTTCCTTCATGATTTCGCTCTTGGCTGCCGCTGCCGCCTGGTCTCCCAAGCTTGTCTCCCTTCATGATTTCGCTCTTGGCTGCCGCTGCCGCCGTGGTTCCCAAGCTTGTCTCTGTTCCTGATTTCGCTCTTGGCTGCCGTTGCCGCCTTGTCATTTTCTTGCCTGCCTTTGACGCGGATGCTGCTATAAGATGATTTAGGTCTTGTTTACCTTTCCATCCTTTTCCCGGCTTTGAGTGGGATGTCTCCCAAGCTTGTCTCCCGCTCTTGCCATGCTATCCTTTTCTTGAAGTGCTATCTGGGGTCTATGCCAGTATAGTTTTTTCAATCCCTGCAGCAGCGACAAGTAGTGCCACTAGAATGGCCGAAGCAGTATCACTAGCAGTACCCCATTTGGCGCAATTCATGTTACCACCTTCCGCCCCTATTCGGGCGAGTGCAACATTTGGTGATAGGGCCGTTTGGGATGTCAATGCGATGTGAAGTTTGGCCTTGAGATGTTGTTTGTGGTGTTTTGATCCGATGACCCTGAACAAAAAGTAAGCCGTGACAGCGGTCAATGGGGTCTCGCATCTCTGAAGTCTTCAACTTGCGATGTTCTCAGACGTTGAGATGTTGGAAGGGTTGAAGCAGTTGAAACAGTGATGATAATTGAGGCGGCGGATTTGGCGGCAGGAGGATGCGCAGCCCTTGCCACTGCCTGGTCCAAGTCGTGACTTGGTGCAAGTAGCTGGGGCTTTGCGGAGAGAAGTGAAGTTGTGGAGACTCACTATTACCACCTTCGTACCCAAAATTGCTGATGCGAAGCGCAAACAATCTAATTTCTCTTGCTCCCGTCTCCTTTCCTCAAGTCCCGCCCATGTGGAAAAGGCCTCAGCTAGCACCAAAGTGCCAAAAAAACCGTCAGGTTATGGTTCAGTTCTCCAAACGGCTGTCTTCAAAGTATCCAGACAGCTTCAGAGGCAGAATAGCAGCTCAATTTGGCAATCAAACTTGATTTGTTGTCGTCAACTTCTACTTCCTCTGCTGTGCTTTACTTGCGGTAAGAGTAAGAGTTGCTCTGAATGTTACTGTAGGGCTGACAGCCTATTTCTCTACTTCAATCTATTAAATCCGTTTTGCTGTCTTCCTTCGCACGGAATGTGCCAACCTGCCCCACAACAACGGCAAAAGCCTGCCCTACCAACCCTGCCTCACGCCTGGCTGCAGTGGATCACTACAACGCTGAAGCTGCCTGGAAAGAACTTCTCATGCTACCCCAGCATGTGCTATGCTCTCTGCCCCGTGGCGCAAGCACCAGCGAGCCAAAGCGGCCTATCTTGATCGGGCTCAGCGATGGGAGCAAGGGGAGCGGTTAGCCCAGGAGTAGTGGAGGCCTTGGCGCCTTTCTACTTGATCGATGCGGTCTTGGCCGAGGATGTGGCTGTGAGTTCCGGGATGCGGCACGTCCAGGCTCACACCTGCGCAAATGTGAAGCGGTTGCAGTGGTGACACCCGCCCTCCTACTCTCCTGGGCCTTCTGACGTAGGAGCTCCTTAGCACAGCCACTGGCGAGTGCAGGCTCCATCAGGGGGATGCATCCTGCATTTGCCGAGCGTGGGCTCAAAAGCGGGAGCTTTGCTGGACGCACTTGGGGCCTTGGCTGACCCACAAGTTGGGCTCCGGCTCTTGCGCACCTGCGTGTCCTTAGGAACAGCTTCATGTCAACCGCCACCTTGGCCGGGGTGGATATCTCATTTCAGTCACTGGCAGCTTCAGTGAATGGTGTCCCCTGTGGATTTATTGATGAAGTCTCAGCAGCATGGCTTCGTGTTGGCAGGCCAGGGGCGCAAGGAAAGTGTAAAGGAACCAACTGCTTGTTAATAGCAGTATACGCGCACACGCGCACGAACTCTGCCTTTCAATGATGCGAGTACTTAAAGCGCGTGGTGATGTGAGAGGGAAACGCACCTGGGACGGGACAAGTCGACTTGAAATTGGATTTGCAGCCCGTCCCAGGTTTCTATGTGAACGAAGCAGATGAGTGCTCCTGACAGTTTGGACGTGCTTGAGCTTTGATGGGGGTCATGAGCTGAAAACTGTCATCCATTGTTTGGGAGACAGGAGAATCCATTATTTTCCTTGAATATATCTCTAATGAGTCTGCATAGAGTCAGCTAAAAGGATCACCTTGCACATGGTTGTTGTACATTTTCCAACCTACACCTCAGTGGCGCATGTTGTTTGCAGGTCAGTCCCTTTGCCTGTCAGCTGAGTAGATAGTTTGCATCCCACCTCATTTCAGCTGTGTGCTGCAGTGCCTGGTGGTGCTCCGTCCCAAAAGAGATGCAGAGTAATGCGGATGTGGAAGCGATGTCATTTAGCTCTTGCTCCCAGCTTGAAGACAAATAGATGAACAGACTGCAGACTAGACCAAGATGGCCGAAATAGGGCTTCGCATGGTCAGGATTTGCCTTGCGCTCGTGACAAAAAGCGGTTGGATTGACGATTGCCAGACAATTGCACAAGTTCAAAGTCTTCAAAATGACATGTGCACCTCAAAAGTGTCCAGTTCTATTGCTGGAGCAAGTGCGGCCGTTTTCGCACTGTCAAGTAAGAGCTGAAGCAACTGCTCAACCAATTCAACTTGGAGCAGGAACACGAGGAGGCTTGCTATCAACCAAAGACAGGATACTAGTGTTCTTGCGACTGCTTTTGGAGCTTGAGATACTGGAGACATGCATCGTCAACAACTTCCACGGCCACTGATGTCTTTTTAGTAGGTGAAATTGTTTTCCTTGTGCAATGGACACTGTTCAGTCACTGTTGCGGCCTCAAACCGTCTTACGTACTGAGTCTTACTCTACAGTATGTGCTGTTTGGTTGACTGCACTTGATATGGAGAGCACGTACCTGCGACTTGTGCCACTGAGACTCCAATGATTTACATGATGTTGAAAGCTCGTTCGGCTCAGGAGGGAGGGCGTGCTGCAGGTGGTATCAGCAAGTTCTGCTTTGCAATGAGAGTCTCAATGCTGGGTGTGCTTTCCCCAGGTTGAATTCGTTGACTCAATTTCTCGCTTCCAGGTGGAGAAGTTTGCGAACTTGGAGGATGTGAGGCGTGGTCCGGGGTTGGGTGATATTAGATTGAGAGGGTTGGGCATCCCACACAGGCCGTGAACTGAGGGTTGTTATGATTCTTACTTATACTTGTTTTTTTTCTCTTGGCCGTGCAGTTCGGGCTTCGTGTGTTTGCACTGGGCCTTTGCCCTCCCTCTCATCCCTTCAACACGACAGATATACCGGGCTTTCTGCGTCCTTGGAATCTAACGGGAAACTGATCGAGAAGATGAATATACTGTAGATCCACTGGAGTCTGGACATGATGGAACAAAGCAGGGTTGCCTGCGCATTGGCTAACACCTCATGCATGTTAGTATTGCAGGTCTCGCGCTGATCGACATGGCTCCAAGCTAAATGGTTGTGGTCTGAGTGACTGTGAGCTCACGAAAGCATGGAACATCAGTACTGAGTAAGTGAGTAACCTCTCCGAATGACATTTGTAAGCAGTGAGTGAGCAGTGAGGAGTGAAGGAAAGCATGATGAGTTTGGTGCACTCCGTGCAATCCGAGATTAAAGAGAGAGTGGATGCGCGGTTCCACAGTCTGGCAAGAATTGTGAGCACATTAAGGCATTTTCACCGCACACTGTGCGGTTTAAGGGTTTGTTCGGGAGCAACCTGCAGCCAGGCGAATAAGGCACTCAACGCAATGTTTGAGTCACAGGTTCAGGCCATTCAGGTGCAGCTCTATTTGTGTTGTTTTCGTCTAGCTGTGTGACATGCATGTGCACCAAGAAGCTTTTCAATGTCCAAATTCTTCCCAGTCCACTGTTCCTAGCTGGCCAGGATCGGCTCGAATTTGTCTTCATGAAAAAGCTTGACCGCTTAGATCATAGTTGGGCTTCCCAGGATAGCAGGTAGGTTCAAGCTTTTACTCTTACTCGCAACCAACTAACTGTGATTTGCAAATGTGTTCAATAATAAAAGAAGACAGGCAAATAAGAAGGTAAGGGTTTCTTTAATAAGGCCTCTTTAAACAGGGCCGTATGAAAGGGCCCTGTGTCACGCCTTCCAAGTCCTTCTGTCCCAGGTGTTGCAGCGATCAGCCAAAGAATGTCGGTCGTTGAGCGTGACTTTGCCCTCACTCGAGAGAAGCACATGCAGGCGGTGCGACGGAGCCCCTAGTAGCTTCTTGCTCCTAGTAACATTGATCTTTCCGTTTTGAAGGACATGCTGAGACGAAACCAGCACTTGGCACAGGACCGACATTGGCTACTACACATGCAGACGTGGGTTTAATTGGAAAAAATGCATCCTTTCAAGGCTTAACCCTGTGTCTTAAGGAACATAGATACTGTAAAGTGCAAGGCTTTCTTTCCTCATCCAAGGACGCTGAGAAGTTCATGTCAGCCCTAAGAAGCGAGAGAGCTGAGCTTGAGCTGCAATTATGACTCAATAAGACAAAAAACGTCTCCAAAGAATGGATACAGGAAAGAACGACTTTGGCGAGCTGAGCTGCCAATCTGCATTTCCGTTGCAAAAGAGCGGCTTTTAGGCGATTGCTGGAGTTGATCGTGTGAATGGAATGAGTAAAGGGTGTTTGGGGGTAGAGGAGTTTGAGGGCAACTGTGGAATCTGTTGGTGAATTCGGTGGCACCGGAAACAGGACCTCAGTTGGGCGCGGCTAAATGATGTGGGTGATGCAATTGCAGTATCCTTAGAGCCTTAAAGTGATGCAGGCGGTGCAGTATCAGTAATACTGCATCATGAAGGAAAGGCAAGAATAGCAGGCATTGTTCAACCAGAATGGAATTATGTTGGGCTGGAAAGGCGGGAGTGAACCCCGGCCCCCAGCAAGACGAGCAGAGAAGAGAAGAGAAGAAAGCGTGAGAAGGTGGAAACTGGTGAGTCGGTCCAGGACGCCCCCGAGAAAGTAGTAGAGTGTGGGACAAGAGAAGAGATGCCATGAGAAGAGGAGAAAAAGGATTTGACTAGACCATCCAAGTGGCATTGTCGTTGTTCATAGGTCTAGGACGTGGATGGAGACGACCAAGCGCGAGTCAAGCCCATACAGCAGGTGCACGTTGACTTGGAAGCGAGGGGAGCAGAGACGACCAAGCGCGACGCCTTTTCTATCATCGTACTGCCCTTGTGATGGAGACCTGGGCCAGATGGGTGTGCAAGGCCCGGTGGCTGTTGCCCTGGCGATGTTGCTTGGCACGTTGGATGAGTTGTTGTGCAACATCGCCCTCATCCAACTCAAAGGCTCAGGTCACTGGCGACACTTTGCCAGGTGGGATTGGTCGCAAGGTCATTTCGCAGGGCAAGGCACAAATACGATGGAAACTTCTTCCAGCTGACCAGATGAGACAAGCAGAGGGGCTTGAACATCCCGCAGAGGGTCAGAGGGTCTTGAACATCCCTCACTTAATGTTAGATGAGGTTCCAGATTGGGCATTTAAAGGGAAGTAGCTGAACTCTTTGTTTTCCCATCCAGCAGGGCTTTGCAGGCGCGGCAGCTTCTGATGTGATTAGAGGGGGGGTCGCTTGACACCCCCAACTAGAACAGCTGCAGAGGAGGTTTCTATACAGTGATAGCGCAGTGTCGTAAAGATTTTCACCCCCAGGCCTGCCTCACAAAGCGTTCGGCGTTTGCTTTTGTTCCTTCCCTTCTCAGGTGTATCGATCTCACGTCCTTTTCTTGTAGTCTTGGCACTTTGCTGCGTAAGGATCGGCAGCATCGCGCAGATGGTTTTGCACGACAGCTTTCGGACTACGAGGCTGGCAGTTTTAAACATGAGGAGTGTTCAGCAGGGGCGGTTGAGACAAGCAGTTCTTCGAAGCCTCGAAGGTGGCTATGAATGGTGGCTACCAAAGTTGTTGCACGATTCCGTGATGGTTTGGTTGGAACTTGATTACAGTCGGATCTCTTAAGCAGTATACTGTAACTGCTAGCACTTAGTTACATCGAGTCGTAGATGTTGCATTCGAGTCTTGGACTATCATGGGTTATTTTGACAATTTTCTACAGCTCACTTCGAGCTTGCCCAGGGTTGTGGATGCATGCAAGTCCATAGTCCCAAAGTGCAGGCCAAAACCCGCACATTTATATCATCTCAAATGCAGATGAGAGAGCAACAGCTTTGCCCTCAGAGCTGGGAGTTGGACAGGCATTTTTCCTGTTCTGCATGCTGTGTGTTTCAAAGAACCTAGTCCAAGAACAACTATGCTGTAGGATTTGTTCTGAAAGGCTGACTTAAGGCGCAAGTAGGCTTGTTGAGCCTAGTTTCTGTTGCACAGCATCTGGTTCAAAGAAAACAGGGCCTTTTGCTATGGACAATGGACAAAGTTTCCAACTTCGAGATGGTATCTGACGAGGACTCGGAGGAAAAGAGCCTCGAAGAGGACCTGCCCTTTCTCTACATTGATTGTCAAGGAGGATTTGCAAATGTTGAGGACTCCGTGACTTTCTTGTCAACGATTGAGCAAGCAGAAGAAGGTCTCACAGACACCCTGCGACAGTCTCGACTTCAAAGAGCTATTGCCCCCGGACAAGTGCTGACACAGGCTGACATCCAAAGGTTGTATCAGGAACAAGGTCTTGGACATTTAGCGGCCCCCGTGATTTGTGTGTTGAAGTTGGGCATTGCTATGATGAGCTTTGGCCAAAGTGCAGCAGATACTGAAGATGTGGTACTTCAAATCTGTGCAGCTATGAGACTCCCAGTGGTTCATTTTGAGATTGGTATGCGAAGCTTTCAAGCGTCTTTCGCCGGCATTGTTCACACTGTGCCTTTTGCAAGGGGCATCGATGCGGACAAGCTCGCTTCGACCATCTCTTTGGCAAACCTGATGCTGAATCAGGTGGGCAGCGTTCAAGGTGCATCAGATCTTTTGGATGATATTTTTGGGCACAGGCCGTCCTATAGCCCCTTTGTTCAATACTTTGCTTTTTGCAGCATGAGCATCCTAGCATCCATTGCGGCATTCATGGGCACCTTCCGTGATGCAGCAGTTGTGGCCATCCTGGTTCCATTTGTTGTTTTGGTGCAGGTTCTTTGCCGACGTTTCAGCTACCAACTCGGAGACTTGGAAGCCTTCCTTGTAGCGCTGACGGTTGGTGCTCTCACTCCATTCGCCTTGCAGTTTCTCGAAGCTCCCATTTGTGAAGTTCCCACGATATATTTATCGCCGCTGCTTGTATATTTGCCTGGATCGCAACTGATTTATGGAGCCTATGAGATCCAATTTGGCTCTTTGGTCAACGGGATAAGTCAACTTGGCTCCTGTGTCGTCCGCTGCATGTTCCTTGCAATGGCTCTGCTGATTGGATGGCAGTTTTTTGGCCATGGTTTCTACAAGGGAGAAACATCATCAGCTGCTGCTGCATCTTTGGTTCCAGTAGACATGTCTTGCATGTTTCCCTATGGTTGGCATGCCATATTCTTTGGTTGGAACATTCCGCTACTCCTTTTCGTTTTTGTTGGCTTGAACATGCCACTTTGCAAAATGCTGGCCCCAGCACTCATTGGATATGTGTCCCTACTTCTCTACATTGTTTTGCTGCAACATCCGGCAGTCAGAGGTTTCTTTCCAGTGCGCATAATTGACTCTATTGCCCTCTTTGTGGCAGCAAACTTGGCATATCTTCATGAATATTACACTTCATCACCTGCTATCTTGGCGATCCTTCCAATTCTTCTGATTTTGGCCCCAGGTTCACATGTGCTCCTGTCAATTCTGTCTTCAGTTCAACGTAGTGCCAAGATACTTGTCATGGTGGAGCCGGTCTTGGACCTTTTGCTTCAGGGAGTTGCATACGCTGTGGGTCTAACTTTAGCAATGCGCCTTTGGAAGCCTTTCCTACAGCGAAAGTTGGCTCGGCGGCTGGCCAGGACCATGCACTTGTACTGAAGAATGAGTACAAGAACACCGGCACATGGATGTCTGGAGCACATGGAAAAGAGGGAAGGCGGTATTTCATTTGAGCACTTGCAGTGTTAGAGCAGCCTAGCACATTGGTCTGAAGTTTGACACTCACTTTTTTGTTTTTCAGCACTGAGGTACCAGAGTTTGCGAGAACAGCTTGATGAGGTCAAGCGAAAAAGTGATACAGGCACGGAGAAGGGCCTGCCAAAGATTGTGCCGAGAAAGCCCGGATTTTCTTCTGAACTGTACCCACATCCAGTCCATTCATTGCTTGGAATCAACAAGGAAGAAGCAATTCAAAACAGTTTGATTTGGCTTTCCAGTGTATGTCAACAGGAGATGATGAACTACAGAGGGATCTGGAGGAGAAGGCCATATGGATAGTCTGACATCAAGCATTGCTTGGATGCTGGAAGCTGGGAGGTGGCTGACATCAAAGCCATGTTGGCAGTAGAGCAAAAGGCTCGAACGCAGGCAAGGCTGTTTTCTCTTTACGCTCCGGCTACATCCTACTACCACACTTCTGTACAGTCAAACATTTGAGAGGATTTTGGTTGTGTGGCGTGTTCGTGCTGTCTTCCAAGGCCGATGACGACATCATGCAGGCTCTGAAACACTACACCACGTGCATTCAGGCTAGGAATGAGCTTGGAAGCAAGCTGGTGCTGAGTTATGAATCCCTTTTGTGGAATCTCCTTTCCCGAAATGAATCACTATGCAGCGACTCTTGCACGTGCATTGAAGGAAAAACGATCCTAATCAGAATCAGTTTACAGTCTAAGGGTGCTGGAACTTGATCCTGTAAATGACAAGTGCTTTCTGCTGTCAGGAGGCTCTTCGGACCATCAACCAAAACTGACCGTGAGAAAGCCACATTCAACGACTCATCCGCGCGCTACACCGTGACAGACCATCCAAGTCAATGTACTTGCTTTACTTTTGCCAAAGGCGAACATGTGAATGTGAGGATGAAGGTTCTGCTGAAACTGAGCGGATACCACATCTGGTGATTTTGTCGACCACTCACAATCTCACAATGCTAGTTTGATTGGCAAACCTTCTGAGAAAGCTTTGCAAAAGCGTGGAGGCAATTGGACGGCCTGTCGTGATGTTGAAGCTGGTTTGCTGAAAATGTCCAGCAAGGGTTGTATTTGCATACTTCAAGTGTGCTCGAATGCACTTCATCCTAGGGTCCTAGAGTGCATATGTGAGCCTCACAATCAACCGCACGGCCATTTTTCTGGTCCCAGGATTTGTCTTTCTTCGATGCAAATCAGCAGATAATCTCTGGCTGTTGAACACAGGTCAGACCTTAAGCCAAGGGTGTCAAGAAAGACAGTCCCTCAAAACATTATCCGCTTTCAAAGAGCGAAGCTCGAAGCTACTGAACATATGAAAGCATCACTTTCAGGTTCCAGAAGGATTCAGTTTCGACGAAATTCTACCAAGCAAACCTACTTTTAGCAGGAGCTTCTTCGACCCGTGCAGAGCGGTTTGCAAATTACTTCGCTCATGTGACAAGAAGCCTGCACAACTGGCAGAGATGGTTACCATTGCTAACTACAAGGCCAGTGACTGCCGCTTTTGAAAGAGATGAGATGTCACAAGAAAACTGCTGTCACAAGAAAACTGCTTTGACCGTGTCGATTTTCGAGATGAACGAACAAGCCTGATTGATGAATCAAGAAAGGCCAGGTTTTGAGGTCCAGTGTTTCTGTGGCGATGCATGAGTATCACACGATCACACGATGTTACACGACCACACCTTTTGGTCATTCGGAGTTGATCGTTTGTAAGTTCAAATAGCTGTTTGTTTGTATGTATGTATGTATGTATGTTTGTTTGTTTGTTTCGACGCAGATCTCCAACACCTTGGGTGTGGGCACCTTTGGCAAGGCAGCTCGAGAATTGAACACGATTGACCACTCCTCCATTGTCTTGTCAACTCCTTTAGCAACATGAGACCTGTTTTTGTTTTGAACGCACACTCATCGGCCGAATCCTCTTTACACTGAGCTCGAACGCATCGCTGTCTGCGTTTGGAGTCGTTGGCAGAGCACAGGTGAAGATGGCTGAGCACACGTTGACTGGCCAGAAGGTGTCACTGGGTGTCTTGATCTGGCAAATCTATCAGCCTTTACAGTATATGCATTTTTGTGCAGGTGGCGATCAAAATCATTAACAAGAGAAAGATGGAGCACATGAACATGCACGAGAAGATCAGGAGAGAGATCCAGATCTTGCAGTGGGATGCTCAGGTTGTTCTTGAGGATGGACGTTATTTTTTTTATTTTGAAGCAAAACTTGTGACTAGCAAAGCAGGCAGAAGATAAGGTGGGTTGGCCCAGTAGGTGGAATGCAAATGAAGCCAAAAAAAGGCAGAAGCGATAGGAGGTTTTGCACCAGCGTAGTAATTGAAGTATGGTATCAAGCGAAAGACCAGACTGTCATTGCCGGACCCCCGAATCCAATAGAGACCTCTTTTGGTTTGGTTGGGGATCCTGCTGGGGCTCGAAATGAATCAGCTTGTCCTTGCAGACACAGAAGAAAGCCATTTGTCCACTTCATTTGTTGCAGGTTGCAGAAACCTGTCCATGCCAAGGTTTCTCAAGCATCCCCATGTGATCCGCTTGTACGAGTTGCTTGACACGCCCAGCGACATCTTCATGGCACTAAACCAAGAGACCAAGACAAAATGCCTTGGCAATATCCATAGATTCCTTCATGTCTTAGGTGCATTTAACTTGTTAAAATACAATCCATATGGCCAATCTTGTTGCTTCCGTGCTCATTCCCTTCTCTACCTATTTTGCGTTCTCAGACTAAGCCGCTGAAGCTGCTAGGTGATGGAATATGTCCAGGGTGGTGAGCTTTTCGATCACATCGTTCACAAGCTGAAGCTGCAGGAAGATGAAGCCTTTTCCTCAGAATATTTGGCTATAATGTACTAATTATAAATACCACTATAATATATTATATATATACACAATAAATTAAAATAAAATATCATATATATAATATATAAGAACAACTGCAGATTCCCTCTTGTCTAGACTCGTTGGCCTTCACTTGAAGTCTTTCCTGCTCAACATCCCCTTTAGACTGCAAGCATCTGATGTTTGTACGGTCCGTCAACGACGTGCCGATGACATGCCCGAAGGCGAGAAGGTTCTTCCAGCAGATCCTATCAGGAGTTGAGTACTGCCACCAATGCATGGTGCGGCTGCCTGGGAGAGAAATCGAAAAAAAGAAAACCTGCAGCAGCCAGATTTGGGAGAAATAGTAGCAAACTCTCAACGGCAAATTTGGGAGAGCCAATGACTTGTGAGACAATTGAATGATTTTTTTACCGTCGAACGAGTCGATGCTCAAGGTGACGCACAGAGATCTCAAACCTGAGAATCTTCTCTTGGATTCAAACTTGCCTGCAGCCCAATGAGCGTTGATTGGGTCTTGCAGCATCACTTGGATTTTGAATCAACGACAGGAGGACCTAGCAGATCCGAGGCACGTGAAGATTGCAGACTTTGGTCTGTCCAACACGATGTCCGGAGCTAAAACACAAGGAAACAGGTGAAGTGTTCTTGCTGTGTTCAGTCGCTTCGTTTGATTCCCCAAGGCGTGATGGCGAATTTTTGAAGACCTCTTGTGGTTCACCAAACTATGCCTCTCCGGAGGTGGTGACTGGAAAGGCCGATCGACACAGGGTCGTGCAAAAAGCAGGATGGAACATCCGATTTCATGCGGGTCCGTGTCTATGCCGTACCTCTCCAGGCCTATGTGGGACCAGAGGTTGACGTTTGGTCTTTCCTCCTGTTTACTCACCTCTAGCCGAGATCCTGTCGAATGACTCTTCCTAATTGACTACAACTAGGGTAACGCCACAGTTGGATTGCTGTTCTTGTATGGGTATGGTGGCCTACCGATTCCAGAACTCTGCCATGGCTGTAGATTTTTATGGGTCAGTGTCGCCGTTTCGATGGCCAGGTCAGGCGGTGTGGTCCTGTACGCCCTCCTTTGCGGGTCGCTGCCCTTCGATGATGAGAACGTGCCTGCCTTACGCAGAACTTATGGGCTTCCTGCATGGGTGACCTTCACTCAATGGCAGAGAGGTCTACATAATATAATCATTGAAAGGGCATGTCGTAGCATGTCGTGGGCATGTCAGATATCCTGAATCAGTGGCTATTCTTCTATGAACAAGACCGTTCGCTAGTAGCTTCCCGCCTTCCAAGGTGCCGAACCTCTTCCGTAAGATCAAGCACGGGAACTTCACCCTGCCAGGCTTGATATAGCAAGCTTCACCCAAAACTTTGAGCCAGAGTACGTTTGCAAGTGTTCTTTTGACAGTTCTTTTGACACAGCTTGCATGTCTTTGAGTGCTACACCACTACGGCGGGTTTTGGACTTGCTACTTGAGTAGGTACTAGGAACGAGAACCTCAAGAATGTGCTATGAACATTTATATATATATATGTATGTATATGAAATATATATATATACATATACATATACATATATATATATATGTCAAGAACGTGCTATGTATTATACGAGTGAACATCGATGACTGAGTCTTGGCCTGTTTCAAGTTGCAAGGCCACCTCTCCAGCGAGGCAAAGGACCTCATTGTCCAAATGTTGGTGGTCGATCCGACCAGGCTGGTCGAAGACCGACGCACGAAGACGTCGATTCGGGCACACGCGGGTCGCTCGAATCGACGTGTTGCGCTAGGCGAATTACCTTCTCACAAATCCGGAGGCACAGCTGGTTTCTGAAGGTGCCACCCTGAAATCTGCTGATTTCTTTGCCTAAGAATTCTTCAACGCCAGCTAGAACTTTCGGACCAGGCTGTTTGGAATTGGGATTTCAACCACAAGCTTGTCAACATGATTGCCATTTCACCACTATTATATACTTTATAGACATAACCAAACTGCTGTCCCAGCATTGTCCTTGTGGACAACCAAGAGTTTCAATCCATTACTGCTTTTCTTGGACCATGCGCTCCGCTCCTTCATTCGATTTAAGGATTTGCCTGAGTACCTGGCCGTGCCTTTGAACCTTGTGGCTGAGAAGTTGGCCAGCCTCCAAGAGTGGCCTCAATATTTGCAGTGCTTGTCTGTCATATCTGTCAGAGCCTTTACAAGCTTTGCTCCTTTGCTCTTCCTTGGTATTGACTGGACCATGATTGTTCAAACATATTACATACTTGCTGAGTGTATTGCCGCAGCCTGAAGTAGACTGTCAGGAGGTAGAGATGCACGCCTCAAGTGACAATGAAGTTGCCTTTGCTTGCATCTGGAAGCTCAGGAGTACCAGAGTGATATCCTCGAGGTACGGAGTTCCACGAGTTCCGTATGAAGTTCCAGGAGTTCCTCGGTTTGTTGGCTCCAGGAGCTGGAGGATATGGGCATGAAGATAGAGGACAAAGAGAATCTAAAACCTGAAGAGAAGGTTGGACAACTTGCGCTGGGAAAGGGCTGTTGTGCTCACTGGTCTGGTGGTTCCAAGAGTACCACATACAAGCGAATGGCTTGAATCAAGTCGGCCACTGCTGAAAAAGATAAACACAGTGTCAAATTAGGGGCTCAATGGAGACACGGGCATGGACAGCATTGTGATACATTGTGCATGTTGCTTGAAGCATTTTATTTTTTAAAGTAACAATGTTTGATGGCCATTGGCATGCAGGTTGCTTACCACTTGTTGGCAGATCGTGCCTCCAAGCAGAGCAGCTTCTCAAATTTGATGCGGAAGGAGAGTCAGAGTGCAGTGTCTTTGCGGAAGTGAGCTAGGACAGCTAGGACCTAGGATGTAGAAGATGCTGGATAAGGCAGACCTTCCTTGTGTGAATATGTGAACGTTGGATCCTGGACTTGTTGACGGAAAGCGCTGTAGCGCTTGGAAGTATTACCGAAAGGGAAGGGGGGGGGTGGGGGGGGCCAAGCTGATGACGGGAAGCGATGAGTATCTCTTTGCAGGGTCGAACGGGCAAAAAACACTGTAATTTACAGTAAAAAGTTGCTTTGGGTGGGTTTGTGTTGAGCTTATTTACCTTCAAAAAGTTGCATTTTACCTGCACGAGAGGCAATTTTTGAGGTTTATCTTGTTATCTCGCATTCGAAGGCTTTGAAATGCAATGTGCATAAAACATTGGAAAACACAGCAAAAAATAAGACGTTTTTGGATCATTAATGCACTGTTTTTTGACAATTTTTTGACAAACTGGGCCCCGACTTTCCACAAGGTCATCGGATACAAAAATGACAGAGAAAATGCTAAAAAAGTCGGGGGCGTTCCACAGCACCACTTGCATCACTACGAGGTGCATGGGAGGCGCAAAGATAACAGAAGAGACGGAAACAAAGCAAATCAACTTAAGATGATATTTTTTTGTCACCAAGGCCCACAAGAAGACAGAAAGAGCACAGAAGAGACAAAAACAAAGCAAATCAACTTAAGATGAGAGTTTTTGACACCAAGGCCCACGAGAAGACAGAAAGAGCACAGAAGAGACAGAAACAAAGCAAATCAACTTAAGATGAGAGTTTTCTGACACCACGGCCCACAAGAATGACACCGAGGCCCACTAGAAGACAGAAAGAGCACAGAAGAGACAGAAACAAAGCAAATCAACTTAAGATGAGAGGCTTCTTGACACCAAGGCCCACAAGAAGACATACAGGGCACAGAAGAGACAGAAACAAAGCAAAGCTACTTAAGATGAGAGTTTTTGACACCAAGGCCCACAAGAAGACAGAAAGAGCACAGAAGAGACAGAAACAAAGCAAATCAACTTAAGATGAGAGTTTTTGACACCAAGGCCCACAAGAAGACGGAAAGAGCACAGAAGAGACAGAAACAAAGCTAATCAACTTAAGATTTTTGACACCGAGGCCCACTAGAAGACAGAAAGAGCACAGAAGAGACAGAAACAAAGCAAATCAACTTAAGGTGAGAGGTTTCTTGACACCAAGGCCCACAAGAAGACATACAGGGCACAGAAGAGACAGAAACAAAGCAAAGCTACTTAAGATGAGAGTTTTTGACACCAAGGCCCACAAGAAGACAGAAAGAGCACAGAAGAGACAGAAACAAAGGCTAATCAACTTAAGATGAGAGTTTTCTGACACCAAGGCCCACAAGAAGACAGAAAGAGCACAGAAGAGACAGACACAAAGCAAATCAACTTAAGATGCGAGTTTTTAACACCAAGGCCCACAAGAAGACAGAAAGAGCACAGAAGAGACAGA